TCTGAAATTCTATTACCTAGGATGCTTTTGGTTTTTTCCTCTCCTTATTGGGTAGATGATAAGAACAGCTCCTCTTTGGCCTTTATGGCTTCCATCTCAATTCCACGTCTGAAGGAGAGATAAACTATTGAGGTCAGCCCTGGCCCAGGCCTGAACTACAAGCATGTGCGCTACAGATCATGGGCTACTTCTGACAGGCATAAATGCAAGTTTTATGTCTTTCCCACAGAATGATGTTGGCTCAGAGCCTTTGGCCCCTGCTCATTCCTTCTATTGGAGAGTTCTAGGCTATCTGAGTACTCACTACTTCCATTTCTCTTGATGCAGCCCCACCATCAGACTATGCGTTCAATGGCGCTAGGTGTGGTTTTCCATCTGTCCATGTGCTTGTGTCCTTTTCTCACTTCTTATCCTAATGCCCTTTGGAGAATTAACTATTGCTTCTGTGTAGAAACAGAACCCCAGGAGGAACTCATGTTCACTTTTACATCACTGGAAATGCCAGGAAACAGGGGGCATCTAAGCTAATCTTAAACCAAAGCAACTGATCTAGTCTTTGGACACAAGGATGCTCAGTGCTGCTGGAATGCATTCATGGGGCTTTTTTAAAAAGCTATTTGGCAGGATATATGATGACCCTTAAAATACGATCCTAACCTTTTACCCACTAATGTTACTTCCAGGAATTTATGCTAAGGAAACAATTGGTGACACACAGGCAGTGATCCTGTACAAGGATGTGATAGCAGCACTGTTTGTACTAGCTAAAAGGGACTAGCAATCTGTATGTCCCCAGAGAGAGGACGGCTGCATAGATCGGGTATACCATACAACAGAGTGCCCTGTAGCCACTGAGAAATGTACCAAAGTCTATTAAATGACGTTGGAAATCCTTCTATTGAGTAGCTAAAACGAAAAACAAAACAACCCCCCCCCCAAAACAGCCTTATACTGTTTCCATAGTATTATGTTGATCCCAAAAGTCAGAAGATATTTTCTAAGATGTTAAAAGTAATTATCAGTGGTGTAAATTATATATAGCTTCATTGCTTTTTTTGTTTTACATATTTTCTATTTTCATACAAAGCCATAATTTGGTTATAAGAATGTGGAAAAATTAACTTTCTTCCCCCTCTTTCTCCTGTGCTGTGGATTGAACCCAGGGCCTTGTATGTCATAGATAAACATGCTGTGGCCTACAGCCCTCTCTCCCAAGGTAAACTTCCTTTTGATTTGTGAGCTTATGCCTCCAGTAAGAGCACCCTTCATCTTACACAAGCTCTGTAATGGCGGTGTGAAGACCTGAAAGGGTCCCCTGCATCTCTCTTGGGACTGGGAGCCTGCCCGGGTGGCACTGTTCACAGCATGACAAGTGTGCCCTGGCCGGCGCATCACACGTTTCATTATCCAAGTGAGTCACCACAGAAGGGCGTCGAGCTGATGACATTGCTGCACACTGTACTTGAACTATCAGCCGAAACCTCACATGCTGCCAAGCTTCAGCTTATCTCCCTAAACTGTTCCTCTCTCACTATGTGGAATGTCAAAGGAACTGCCGAGGCAGACAGCTCCTTTTGAGGACACCGTGGGCCAGCATGCTACAGCTGATGCAAGCCTCCCAGTTGGATGCAAACCAGTCCAGCAAATCTGTTCCTTCCATGTTAAAGTTGAAGCTGTTATTGCTTTAGTTGTGCCTTGATGAAGGCTTGGCAGGACTCCAGGAATATTTAGGGTGAAAGATATGCTGCGGTATTCAACTGGGAAATACCCAGCTGGGCTGAGGGTTCTAAGAAGCCATTATAGGGGTCATCTGCTAAAATTGTAGTTAGAAAGTCATTTCCTCCCTTTTAACCTCGATTGTTTGTTATGTTTGGCTTTGTTGGTGGGAAAAGAATCGAGAATTTTTTATTGGAGGTTTTAGGGCTGGAGGTGCAATTGACCGTTTTCTGTTGGCCTGAATTGTTTGGGATTGTTATGGTGTGAGAATGTTTTGGTTGGTTTGTTTGTTGGTAATTCTTATTATTTTAATAAGTAACCTGTAACTAGTCACTGCTGTAGGAAAGAGGAAATTGATGGTTATACATATATGGGCATCATAACCATGATCATCATCACCATCATCATCATCCCTGTCATGTTGTATGAATTCCATCGAAACTAAAAGTGAATATTTCAGTGTCTCTTAGATGATATGCATACAACCATTCTGTTGTTATAAGCTTGATTGTGTATATAAGATGTGCACTGGTATTGTTGATAGGGACATCTATGATGTGTCTCTGCAGTACAAATTGAGAGGCATAATTGCTTTAGTAGTTGAAAACATCATGAAAGTACTGTGGAGTGTGCGTTTTATTATTATATGAATGCCAGCACAGTGGTAATAGATTTTAAACTGTGGTCATTTCATAGCAAATAAATGTTATTGCTGTGACTAAGGCAAGCAAATAAAATGCTGTTAGACATTCAAAGGAGCAGTTAACGTTATGGCCGTTGATCTGGGACGCGAAGAGTCACTTCTTAACAACAGTTACGATTGCCCTGCATTCTAGCCTTGCCCCCCCCCCCCCCCGATGATTTCAGCCATGCTTTCCTGGCCAGGAACAGCTGAGATGTCTGAGGTTGTAGAACAACACTCAGAACCCCATATTGTGTTCCCAGACTATACTTCCCGTTGAGATGAGATAGGAGCTAGCAGCGTTTCCTCAATAAAGAAGTAATGTTAAACTACTTTGTAGACCCTTTTGAATTGTCCTGTGGTGTTGCCACAGGAACAGCTCAGGGCAGGCCTCTGAGCCTGAGTTGTTCCCTTATCCCTCCCCCGCTACCACTTAGTTTTTTGGGTTTTGGCCATGATTCAAGAGTCCTTTTCAGGCCCTTCTGACTGGCATAGTATGGAGTGGGACAGAGAGAGGCCTGAGGAAGCATGGCCTTAGCTGTCAGCACAGTACTAAGGAAGACTGCACAGCATGGGTATGTGACTGCTCCTGGAACCAGAGTGAGAGTCATCAGGGGCAGATGCCAAGCTTGTAGTAAGAGTCACTGGAAACCACTAATGATTCTTACAGTCTCGGTGTTGGTTTTCTTTATAGCCTGTTGCATCTTGTTAAATATGCTTTAAGCTTTTTGAAGCCAGGGACATTGGCAAATTGTACTTATTGTCTTGCTCATTCTGGGTGTTTATCAATGAGTCTTGGGTGGATTGGAAAGGTTGTAAAGCTTATTTTTTCCCCTTGTATGACTCGTATCTGCTCTATGAGTCTACCAGAAAGGACACTGGAGGCAGGACTGGGGAGTCTATTGGGATTTACTATGCGTTGATTCTGAGTCTGCCGCTGTGTTTCCATTCTCCCTTGCGCATGTGGTAGGCATCTGAAGGAAACTCATAAATCAGTAAGAGAACCGATAATACCATGGCTAGGTCTGTTAAGCTTTTCAGGGCCTAGAGGAACAGAGTAAGACCTGCTTTTCTAGAGACAGAACACTGGCAATGAGAGCCCAGGCTTTGTGTCAGGGTATTGGGTAAATCTCAGCCCTGCACTTAAAGGTTGGCAAGCCTAACTAGCGTAGCCCAGAGCTTCACACGTGTGAAGTGGAAATTCCAGCAGTGCCGGTCAACGGGTTTGCTGAACAGTTAGTGAGTGCCACTCGTGTGCTCACCGGTTATCCCTTCAATACCTGCAGGAATTACAAAGACGATCCAGCTACGGCAAAGGAACAGAACTTCCCCTTCATAGGAGACATGATCTAGAGATGTAATACTCATGATGGCACTTAATAAATGTTTCGTCAGATTCATTGAAGAATATTAACTCCACACAGAGAGTTTTCTCTAAATGCTGCCACAGGTCTTCATGTTACAGAATAACATGTACATATACATGCATACACACACACACACAAACACACACACACACACACACACACACACACACACACACACACACATTCTTGCTAAACTCCCATCTGCAACTGTCCTTTAGGACTGAACTCTGTACATTTCACTTCCATAAAGAGCTTTGTTTGAACAGCCTGGCAGCCAGCTAAAGATTCAGGGACTGTAGGTTGGTTGCATGGCTAGTTGGACTCCCCACCTTCTCAGCCATCTGTGTTTGCACTTCCTGTGACATAATGTGACTTTACCCAGGTGCTAAGGTATTCGTATAATTTGCAGAAATAAGTCAAATGGCCAGCATGGCCAATTAAAATCTACAAACCAGATAATGGTGAGTAATTTCATCCTTTCTCCAAGCCTGTGGTCAGCTTCCCATCAAATAACAAATGTGGACAAATGTGAGGTTCTGGATCCTTTTTTTAAAATTGCCGTTTCACTAAGGCTATTCTTTGAGCATCAAAACCCACAAGAAAAATGACAGTCCTAGACAGCACACCTCCAGGGTGCCGCACACAGCCTTAAGGGCTGTCTCTGAAAGGTGTGTGTCCATCTTTCCTCTGTCCCCTAGCATGTTCCTAACGCACGCTCAGACCTCCAATGGCACACAGCCCATGTAGTTAAAAATGTAAACAGGAAATTGTCTTCTGGCTAAATGGCCTTTGTGGCCCAGAAAACTATTCATTTCTGCTGAGACATAACTTTAAAAGCACACAACAGTAAGGCTAAATGCCGGCTGAGTGTGAGCTGAGCTTCCAACAAAGTGGACAACAGGACACACGGATACTGACTGATTCATGTATGTGGGTCCAGCACGTGCTCACCCATGTCCCGTGGTACAATAGATCATGGAGAAGCTTGGGTCACCTAGAAGGCAGCTGTGAGATGGCCAGAGGCATGTCTGTGCATCGAGACATCAAGGCAAACACATTCTGTGGAAGATGCAGAGGACTGACCTGGAGCACGGAGACTTAGCAGCATGCCTCTGGACTTTGGTGCTCCCATGTTCTGCTGCAGCTCCCTGTCATTTGGCCTCCCATGAACCTCCTGTGCTCCCACTGTGGCTTCCCCATGTGCTGATGAGTTTTCTGGTTGTTATGTCTTGCAGCCCCCCGAATCCAAGCCCAACTTCACCCCTCTCGCCATCATGGCCCATGTTCTCGGCGCCATCCAGCCCTATGCCCACCTCATCCACGTCCAGCGACTCATCCCCCATCAGGTCTGTTGCAGGGTTTGTTTGGTTTTCTGTTGCTGCCGTTGTTCTCTCATTGGCTTGGTCCTCTCTTCATGCAGTGTTCAGCCTCCTCGTCAACTTTGTTCCCTGCCATCCAAACCTGCACTTGCTTTTTGACAGGCCAGAAGAAGCAGTTCGTGAAGACTCCAGGTAAAACTACGGATGGGGACTGACCAGCCCCCACTTATGCAGAGCTGCTCAGGGATACTGGGGGCCTCCTCTGCTCTCCTGCAATTTCATCCTAAGAAAGCAAGCCAGGAGGCACAATATGCATGACCTTGCATGGCATTTTTAATATCCTTTCTAACCCTTACTCACAGTTTTGAGTTAATCTCTGGTGCCCAGATTTGGGGAACAGGGATCTGCAAATGTAGCACTCCTGTTCCGAATGGTTTTCTGAGTCATCTGGGCTCTCCATGGTTTGATAGAAGATAGTATTCTAGGGAGCAATGTTGAGACATGGACTGGCCTTTCCTTGTCTCATTTTTATCAGTTGATATCTGGCAACATTTGTGTGTGGGTTGGGCCAATATTTGTGAGCCCTGACACCTGGTCACTGAGACCAGATCCCTTGAGCGAGAAAATGTAACACAGAATAAAAGACCGAGACATGAAGTACTTGCTTCTTAAGTTACTCAAGGATTCCACCTCCCTACTCCCATGTACTCCAGGAATCTTCTGGCTTCCCAGCCCACTTGTGTCTCTGTAGGTCATGAACCCTGAGTGCTTGTGGGAACAGGCACCACCTCTTTTTTTGAGGGTGAGTGGCTTGACCTAGTTCTTCGCCCAGAGGGCCATACTGTAGTCCTGCCTTGCAGAGCGCCACAGCTAAGTGCCACAGCTTCATTATTGAGCTCTTTGTAGAAAAGAAGCTCTTCAAATCTAGGAAGGGAAGAAAATGCACCACAGACTTCCTCTGTTTGGTGCTCTCGATGGGCATCTCTCAGACTCGGCCTCTGCCTTCAACAAGCCAAATGCAGAGTCCAGGGAGAAGCATCAGGAACATTCTTGGCCTTGGTGGGAATCCTGAACCCTGCTTTTTCTCCTTAATAGTGAGTCCATCAGACAGGCTTCCCAAATTTATAAAGCCAACCTTCAAGGTTTAGAAAGGCCATGCTGTGCATATATGCAGGCACATGAATTTATTCCCATGTGGGCATTTTTATGTCTATTGTGTCGTTCTATGCTCATGTGAGAATGAGAAGAGACATGGTCTGAACATTGTAGAAAAAGAAAATGGTCACTTCATTAGGTGAGAGCCACGGCAGAGTTAGGAGGAGTTCTTGACATCTGCCTAGCATGTTTTACTCTAAAGACCTGGACAGCTCCAGTTAAGTTTCTGTGCCATGCCAGGCCTCGACCCGACCCTGCTGGGTAAGGCATGGTTTTCCACCCCCCTTGGTCTTAGGTAATGGGAAAGACAGCTCTGCAGTGTATTCTTTTTCTCCTCACCCCACAAATAAAGTACAAACTAGATCCTGTTTCTGACACTTTAGCTATTTGTGAATTATTTCTTAGGCAAGTACTAGGCACTTAGGGGACACTTCATTTCTTTCACACCAGAAACCATATGGATTATTCCAGTTAGGTCACTCATGACCCATGAGGACCCGGAGCAGAGCGGCTACAATGGCTCACTCATTAAATAGTCTTGGGCATTAGTGGAACTGGGCACGTCAAAGGCTACTCAGTGCTGCCCCTTCTGGCCTCTGTTAGAAGAACACCATTTTGAAGCAGACCCATAGTCCTTTAGGAATCTGTCATTTTGAAACAGGCAAGCCACAGTTGGGCTTGAAATTGGATGTCACTGAGTTACATGTTTATGCAAAGATAAGTGCAGACCAGACTCCTGCTGGAGAGACAGCTCACTAGGAGACAAGTTACAGTCCCTAATTGCTGTTACGTTGTCTAGCCAAGATGTGGGGACGTACACCCATTGTTTGGGTCTAGTGTCACCTCTCCCCAAATTGGCTATAAGAACATAAAGCTTTAGACTTCCTTCCTTTGGCAAGGCTTTTAACAACATATTCTGAATGAGACCTAATTAGGGGTCCTGGTAACCTGTGGGAATGGCTCTCTCTCCAAGCCACCTTTTGAGCTTCTTGTTTCAAGCGCAGACGTAGAGGTGCCTTTTGTAGCCCAGAAGAACATGGATACTGGAAGAGCCCTCCTTTAACATTGGCCCTTGCTTTCTCTACTTGCCCTTCCACTTCGCCAGAGTCCCCCACCCAAATCAGACCCCTAATTTGCACCCGGGCCCCAGGGAGCTGCCTTAATGATCAAGCCGCAGGGAGCTGGCCCCTCCTCCAGTGGCAGGCACCAAAGAGTGGGTTGTCATTCTGCAAGCTTGCAAGGGCATTTGAGGGAAATTCCTTTGAGTGTTTTCCTGGCCTCGTTCCATGCTCAGAGGCAAAAATTAAAAGTGAACCAGCAGAAGGTTCCAAAGTTGGTCGTGCCCTTGAAGGCCCAGCCCAGAACTAAAGAATGCGGTGATGGGAACTGCTGACACCTCCCCAGGCTGCGTGAGTTGCAGAGTAGGGAGGAGCCAAACAACAGTGCTGACTTCAGTCAGAGCCTGGGGGCTTCCCACCCCCTGAACTTCAGCCAACAGGAACCTCTGGGTAGGAGTCTTTACCTAAAGCAGATGCCCTAGCCACTTTCAGAGGGAGCTGTCGGCTTACACCAAGGCAGACTTTCAATAATCCATGACTTCCCCGGTTACAGTTGCCAGACACTCGAAGCAAATAAACACACAGCCTACTCAGATAAATTTGAATTGGAGATAAATAAAGAAAAAATACATTTCTTAGTTTGTACCTTATGGAGATACACTAAATATAAGTATTCATTAGTTATATGAAATTTAGAGTTGACTGGGTGTCCTTTACATTCTCTGGTGACCATGCTTATGAGAGAAGGTGACAAGCCCTATAAAAGCATGCCCTATAGGGCTAGAGATGTAGATTAATGCAAGAGTGCTTGCTTAGACTATCCATGGCACCCTGCTATGAGATCCCCAGCTCTACAGGGGTGTGTGTGTGTGTGTGTGTGTGTGTGTGTGTGTGTGTACATGCACACATACATAAACACAGCCCTTTGCATCCCTTTATTTTATGTACACATTAAGCAGTGGGGCAGATTTTCTCATCAATTACCGGTTACCTGTTAGAGAAGAACAGACTCTCTCATGACCTTCATCTTTACTTTTAATACACCATTTTCTTCCTGAAATTCCATTACTAAATTGCAGAATTTTAAAGTTAAAGTAGTCCCTTCGAATAATGATTGTGGGTGCTAGGGACCATGGCCTCTGCTTTCCACTTGCTAAACAGTCCTGTTGGTGTCCCGGGTGGCTCCTATTCTGTTCCACCACCTTTCTTTAATGAGCCGATTAGGTAACCTCTCAGAGAACCCCAATCCAGAGAAACCTTGCCTTCCCTGATCTCTTCACACTATTCCCTCCTAGGCAGCTCTCCTCAGAGGCAGCCCTCCTCAGTGTGGCCTTCACCTTGGCTCCTATGGCCGGATTCTCCTTCTACCCTGCATGTCATGCAAGGCTCCACATGGTTATCAGTATAATGCTTGGCTGTTTTAGCACCTCTCACAGCCTCCTGGCTGTTCAATACCCCGAGGTCAGGGAAGGTGGGGAAAGAGGAGTATACTTTTTTTTGTCCACTGTGGAAAGCTGCCCGATGATTTCTGGGCCCTTGCTAGCCAACATGCAGGTTTATTATTTAATGAGATTAGACCAGAAGAGCTGTTTTCCAGCTGTAACTGATGAAAACCAAAAGCTTTTCTCCTTCATCCCCAGTGTCCCTGTATTATTTTCTTTCCCTTTCTCAGTTCTGCCCTGCCCAGCATCCTCCCTGGGTTATAAGAAAACCAGAGGGAACAACAGTATGCTGTCATTTCCCTAGGAATGCATTCTGGATAACACTGCTCACTCTACTGTATACAGACTCTTTCAGTTGTCTGTCCTTGAATTTTCGTGGAACTGAGACTGGAAGGAGCACACCACTCTTGGTTTCCATCCTCCATAACTTGTCTTTACCAAAGAGAGCCTGTATTTGCTCACCCTCAGTAGTAGTGGTTCAGAAAATCTGGGCTGTTCTGTCTCAGCTGAGAGCAGACCCCCCTCAGCCACTAGAAACCAGTGCACACTGGGAACTGGGGCATTACCAGCTCCACTAGCCTCTCAGATTGCCAAGGGAAGAGAAATTAAATGACATACATCTCTTGACTGATTTCTTAAACCCCAAGTTCTCCTGGGTTATTTAAATTGTGCTTCTGCATTCCAGAGTATACTCCATTGCATGACTTGGAGAAAGAAAGTCACTTGTGGCAGATAAAGAGCAGTCTTCTGACAGTGTGATGTCATTCTGACCCGTGAAAAGTCTACAGACAGCTGAGAATAGCCAGGTGCCAAAGTCAAACTTGACAGAAAAGAGTAGAATTACCCTGTTCTCACAAAAGACTGTGAAGACACGGGCTTTCACCTCATGGCCCGTGATGGTCAAACTCTGCCCTGTTTTTTCGGTAGAGAACTTTTAACTGGAACACTGGTTTGTTTATACACTGTCCCAGGCTGCTATGTGCAGCCGCGTAGCATGAAGTAGTTACAACAGAGACCACATGCCTTCAAGAGCTCCAAGACTCAAGAGCCCTGTCACTGCAGTAACGTGCCAGCCTCAACTTTGGCTGTGTGTAAGAATCTCTTCGAAAGTGACACACAGACACTTCACTTTCGGTTCTGTTGCTTATAGTTCCATCTTCAAGTGCATAGGACAGTTAAATGTTCTTTTCATCTGCAAGTCCATAGGACATGTAAATGGTCTCAAGGGCATTCTGATAACACTGAAAGAGCATTGTCAATATTCATTGAATGAGAGAACCTGAAAGCAAACCCAAAAGATCAGCCTCTATCTGCGAACTCCCATGCTGGTGTACATGCGTGCTCACACACCACCTCCATCCTTGCCTGCCCTGAGATCTGAAGAGTTCCAGCTCTCGAATGGTCACCAGCAATGGAGACCATCTGGCCACCCCTGCTGGGCTGAAACCTGGCTTTGCTGGAGTTTCCTCTGGATTCCACTGGGCTTTGCCAGCTTCCAGGAGCAACTGGTGGGAATATTCTGCAGAGTCCTGTGGCCCCTTCCCAAGCACTCTGTCTCTGAAATCCCCTTCCTCCCCCAACCCTAGGGCCAGCTGTTATAACTAGCAGGTAAAGTTTCTCAGGGGCACAAGGTGACCTTGGAGAATTGTGGCTTCATGGGGCATATGGCCTTTTCCTAACTCTTCCTCGGTTTTCTCCTGTGGCCTTTACGACTTTCCCACCTCCTGTTCTGCCATCTGGCTGCCTTGTCCCGGCTCTTTCCAAGAGAGGACTAGGTGCCTTGTGGGGAAAGGGCAGAAGAAATATGAACTATCTTTGGCTTTCTGGGGTTCAAAGCAATGTTAAATGAACTCCCCTTTCCACACAGCACACCATTCCGGAAGGCAAAGGCCTTGTACGCCTGCAAAGCTGAACACGACTCTGAGCTCTCGTTCACAGCAGGCACCGTCTTCGATAATGGTGAGTTTTCCCCATCACTTCACAAAAATGGACAGGAAGCAGATGGATGAATTTTCCTACCTGGGGTATGGGGCTCTTCCCCCAAAATTAGACTTGTGGAGGCGTTACCCTGGGTAGGCCCAGAAAGGTACGTGGCCTTGGTGTTTAATATTTGTGCGCTAGACAGGCTCAAAGATGAGGGAGTGAGGTACAGGACAGTGGAATTGGGCAGAGAACTGGAGGTCGCCTGGTCACCTGTTCCATTCTGTTTTCCCCTTGGGATCTGGGCCTGTGCATTGTCTTCAGCAGATGAGGCCCACTCCTCACACAGCCCGGTGGGTGTAGCTCCTCCTGTGCTCTTCCCTTTAGACCTGAGATCACAGAACAGACTTCGTAACGTGATGTCACTTACACCCCAGCAGCCTCCTGTTGTGGCATCTGTTGCAAGAATGCATTGTGGCACTGCATAATACTGGAGTCGGGACCTGCTTGGTGCACTGCCATCCTGGCCTTTTCTGCCTTCCTCCCTGAAAGCATGTGTTACAGTGAGAAGTGAAGCTGTGGTTTGGCATAATTATTTACCTAAGGAGAATCTGGACTCCCATGCAAACATCAGGCTTCTGTGATGGCTCTTTTCCATGGGAGAAGTTTTCCTTCAGGGTTACAAGCAGTTAGTTGTATTTGGTTCCAGAACATGGGGATTTGCTCTGGCTACTCCTTGGCCTCATGTGGGGTGAAGGCAAAGATCACCCCAATCTGCCTGGCCCTAGACCCGCCTCGCCTCATGTGACTGAGAACCAGCAGAGGTGGAGGGCAGTCAAGGAGCACACACAGCACAGGAGAGTCTGAACCCTAGAGCCAGCCACAGTGCATGTCTCAGCCTGACCGTTTGCTCTGCTATGACCTTAAGCAGTGATGTCACTTCACTGTGCCCTGGTTTTCTTCTCTGTCGCAGCAGCTAATACACCTACCTTCCAGGGCATGATGAAAGGACATCCAGCTAAGATACAGTGTGTATGAAATGGTACCTAAAGCATGGGAGGTATTCAGTATGCTGTCGTTGTTATCATCAGGATCTCGTGTCTCTCTTAGAAAGTCTGTGGCAAGCTGTGCATGGTGGTACACATCTGTAATCCCAGCACTCAGGGAGGCAGAGGCAGAGGCAGGTGAATCTCTGTCAGTTTGAGGCCAGCATGGTCTACAAAGTGAGTCCAGGACAGCCAAGGTTACACAGAGAAACCCTCTCTCAGAAGAGAGAGAGAGAGGGGAGGGGAGGAAGAAAAGAAAAAAAAAACTGTGGCACTATAATCTGAAAACAAGGACAGCTTTTCCTTTTGGCTAACATGGCCCCTAGCTGTAGGTACTGTTTATGTCTTTGGAACCTGCCATCAAATCCAGAGTGCCTGGCACCACCCCCTATATTCTGCCCTCATTTAGTCAGGCATGAGCAGACATAGTCAGAAACACAGCACACAATGCAAAGTTCCAGCCTGGGCCTCCTGCACCAGCAGCGATTGGGACACACTTGAAACTGCCTCTGCCCTGATAAGCCAGAAGTCCACCTTGAAGCTGACCCAAGTCCAAGGTCCTATGCTGAAGCTTTGGCTCTATTGACTTTCTTGTGTGCGCCTTAATAATCAGAGCACATAAAGTGGCCAGTGCACCACCTCTCCTGCCAGGAGCTGATGCCTGCAAGCCTAGCAGACTGGCATGTAGAGTGGGTCGGCTGAAGGCTGTCCCAAACCATGTCATGGTGAGTGTGCCCTCCACAGACCAGCTGTAATAACATGATGCAGCTTCCCCAACAGACGAGTCAGAATGAATGTCACTACTGGGGCATGGGTGACGAGTATATTCAGAATTACGCAGTTCTCATCACTGTCTAATTCTAGGATAACACACACACACACACACACACACACACACACACACACACACACACGTACATGCACTCATGCATAATCATGTTGTTTTTACCCCTAAGCTCCTTCTCTCCAGCCCTATCTTCTGTCTCCAAAGATGGGCCTGCTTTGAATATCTCATACAGATAGAATTGCATAATATATGGTCTTTGTAACAGAAATTTTTTTATGTGATGTTTTTCAAAGTTAATCCGGGCTGTACCATGTATCTGCACTTTCTTCCTTTTTGTGGCCAAGTTGTATTTCATTGTGTGGCTAGACTACCTTTTACTTAAACAGCTAGCAGCTAACTGATGGGGTATCTTACTGGTTCTCACTTTTTCACTGTTAAGAATGATACTCTGTGAACATTTATGTTTTGAGTATTTTTTAAAAAAGTTCTCCTAAGATTGCTGGCTCCTGTGGAAATGCCAGACTATTTTTACAAGGAGCTTGTACCTCTTTGCATCTCCTTCTCTTTCGTTTTTAAGTCTCATCTTTGAACAACAACAACAGAAAGTCAGGCGAACACCCCATGATTTTTATGTGCCAGGGCCTTTCCTTCCCAGCGGGGTCTCTGCCCAGCAGGTTCTGTGACTACTCCCCAACACCACCAGGTGACCATCATATGTCACCTGAAGACACAACAGTGGTTCCCTTCCCACATGTCCCCATGCTCTGTAGGGCCATGCTGACTTCTCCAGTGATGGAGCTGTGTACACGTATGTGACTGTGGACATGCTTATGCCATGATCCACATGTGGAGATCAAAGAACATTTCCGGAGTCAGGGTCCTTCCATCTTTTTGTGACACAGCATCTCTTGTGTCTGCTCTGTGCTCAGACTCCGGTCTAGCTTCCCACCAGTTCTCCCTGCTTCCCATCTTACAGTGGGAGTTCTGGGATTTCAGAAGCACAGCCATACAACCTTGGCTTTGAACAGAGGTTCTGGGGGTCAAACACAGGTCATCAGGTTTGCACAGCAAGTGTTTTTGTTCTATGAGCTGTATCCCTGGCCCCTGACAGACATGCTAATCCACTTTCTAGACTGTTTTGCCTGGTAATATTTCACCAGGTCCTATTCTAGAGAAAATACAACTTTTATTCTGTTGGAGAAATCAGGCAATAAATAAGGAAATAATGAAGGCTTTAAGTGGAGAAGTGGCCTGCCCTTTCCTACTATTCCCTGGAAAGATAAGGTAAAGCCCATGTCAGAAGCCTGGATGTTCTCTGCAGCTGTCATATTACAGCTTCCTACTGACAGGTTTTGTCATGTGTGTGCTGTATTTTGTGTGTGGAATAGGGAAGAGAAAGGAAGGGTGTGTGGAGGTAAAAGCCTGCTGCTTCGTAAACATTAATCTCTCAGCCTTGGGGTTTCAGTGGGCCAAACTTTGACTTTGGAGTGGCGCTCAGTCAGCTCCTGGACTCTGTGTAGCAGGGGATGGATGTGGAATACTGGGAAATATCTCCAATGTCAGCTCCTGCCAATCTACCAGGAAACTGTCCTCTCCGATAGGAGCACCTCAGACAGTAACTGGAAAGAGAAGTAATTTGTGTTCTCAGGAGCATTAGTCATCCAGAAGCAGTGTGACCAGTGATACCTAGAAAATTCATGTGGCAGTTGAAAAAAAAACTGGCTTCTTGGGATATTCTTCTCAAGTTTTGAGATGAGGGTCTGGGAGACCTATCAGTAGGTACAACTTGCTGCTGGGGCATGAGAACCTGAGTCCCTGCCCCTAGTGCCCCTGCCAAAAGCTGTGTGTGGTAGAGTGCCCATAATCACAGTGCTGAGCAGATGGGGCCAGGGGGATCTCTAGAGCTTTCTAGCCGTCTACTCTAGTCAAATTCATGAGTTTCAGGTTTGATGTGAGACCCTGTCTCAAGAAATAAGGCAGAGAGCAACTGAGGAAGACGCTGACCCTGAACTCGAGCTTCTGCACACACATGCACACACGTGCGCACATCTGTGTGCATGTATCAGGCTAGTCTCAGCCTCCCTAACTGTTTCCACTGCCCTCCCCCACAGCATCCAGCCAATTTTCCTTACTCACCTGCCTGTTCCCACCAGCGGCCTAGCAAGTCCTGCCATTCCCATTCTTGCCCCTCAACTCATCTCTGCATGCAAGCTAGAGTGAGCTTCCGAATCCTGCCATGCTCTTCCCATTTAGAGCACCTTATCTCCTGTCGCTCTGTGAGGTACCGCCGAGGCCCTCTGCAGCCCAGCTCCTGCCTCCTGACCTCTCATCGTTACTTTATACACCACGGCTTTGGAGGACATCTCCACAAACTTCTGCTCAACTATATCTTTCTGTAATTGAATTTGTTGGTGCACAGCCCCCCTTTTTTGTTGGTTTGTGTGTACTCTGTGGCCACACTTTGTGGTCCTTTCTAGGGAGTGTTCAAAGCACTGTTCTGAGATCACATCTAGCTTTTCTGTGTCTTGGAGCCTTGCATCTGCTCTAAGCACTCTTGGCTGATGCTGTGAGCGCCTTTGGGATAGAACTTTCTGAGTTCCTTCTCTCCCCAAGTCCCATCTCTTTTTTCCCTTCCTTCCCCTCTTTCTCTCATTCATATTCTCTCTCCCCTTTCCCTTTTTACTATGTTTATGATAAACTGTCACTCCACTAAGGAGACATATGTGAGAACCCGGCACAGTGTCCAGCCCCTGATAGGTGCTCATAAGACATTAGTGTAATGAATAAATGCCTGCTAATCTCACACCTGTAACTTCCTCCAGTGGAAGCTTCTTCCCGCTGACAGTAGCCAGTCATTGTCCATAGTGAATTAGGAGAGAAGAAAGAATGAGCTGAGTACTCCAGGAACTTGTGTTACACGCAAGGCTGTAGCAGAGGGAGAGGTTGGGCCCATGTCAGTAGCAGCTTAAATTATATGCTATGCTCACTGGGCTAGCTCACTATTTGCTATGCTCACTGCCACTCAGACAGCTTCTTGCAATGCATAGTGTGTATATAGCACACTGGACACTAGTGCAGGTCAGCTGCCAACCTCTTACTAACTGCTTCACCAGTCAGAGTCCTGAGGCAGGCAAAAGCAGAATTCAGCCTGTAGGTACTCTGTAGGCCCCAGGCCTCTAGAGTACCTCCATCGTCTACCAGCTGTATACATTTTTTTGGCCAGCTGCTTAACCATTTGGCCCCTCAGTTTTTCATCTGTAAATGGCTTTATGTTCACACTGAAGCTAATACAGGTAGAGTAGAGTACCTGTTAATAAAGCTTCTACTATGTAGTTCATGCCAACAAGAAACACCTTCTCTGACTGAATCAAAGCAGGATATAGTGGAGGAAGGTTTGGTCTCTGGGTTCGAATTATGGTTTCACTCTCATGACTGTGAAACTTAATTTGTCTGAAATTCTGAGCACCTGGGCCCCATGACACTCACCCTTTAAAGTGTTGGATTGGGTCACAGTGGGTAATGCAGAAGGGAGCTGCTGAAGGCTGTTGAGCCAAGTAGTTGAAACAACAAACTGAAATGCACTAAAACGTTAGAGAGCAAAGTTTCATCATTTCAGCAGTTTATTAATAGGACCCACCAACACTGTATGTGATATACTGTGAGATAAACTGTGAATTTTCCAGAAATCAGGAGGTGAAAAAGCAGGTAGAAGCAAGTCCATAATACTGTTTATGAAGGAGCTGAGCCCCCTGTCAGACCAGGGAACAGATTACAGAGGGAAGGAGAGTCAGCTATCCCTTTTCTTCTAGCTAACCAGAACTCAAAATTTTATTCTTAACTATCACCTTAATTACAAGGCATTTTGAAACACAAAGGTCATAGCTTTTAACTTCTATAAACCAATGAAAATGCAGGTGCCTAGGGCCCAGGAACCTGCAGATTCCATGAGCATGTAGATAGGGCTGTGTTGTTGTCTAGCAGTAGCCTTTAAGAAACCCTGGCTTAGAGACTCATGTTAGTCATCAGACCGTTGCAAAGGCTGCTTTATCCCTGCGGCCCGTGTGACACATCAGGCCTTCCTCGTTCCTTCTGCGGCTTCGCATAGTCTGGAGATTCCTCAGGTTTGTAGATAACACCTCAGTACCTGTGCTGTTTGAGCACAGGGTAGGAAGTAGACACACACAGCCATCAAAACAGCTACGCTGTGGAGTAGCAGAGCTCTTTCGGTTATCTTTACTTAGTTCAGATTTTTGTTTGTTTGGGAGTTTAATTTGTTTATACTTTGGTTCCAAACATCTAAGGCTTACTGAAGCTTTGGTGGGTTCAGGAACCAAGGCTTTTGCCCAGACTGGATGGCGGAGGGTTCCTGAGGTCCTCCTGTCTCCACCTCCCAGGGCTGGGATAACGATGCATGTGCCACAGCTAGCCTTTTACATTTACGTTTACATTTCCGAGAAGTTAAACTCAGTCCTCAGACTTACAGACCAGGGGCTTTCTCCAATTTTGTCATCTCCTCAGCCCCTGGGCCGTGTTTTCCTAGGAGGAAGTTCCTAGTTCCTAACCTGCCCTGGGAGTTAATGATGCACTCACATTGGCTCCTTTAATCCACTGCAGAAACCACAGAAAAGGTTCTGCCACCACTGTAGAGGTACAGACATGGAAGGGATCTTGGCAGCCTCAGCTGGTGGCCAGGCAGAGGGCAAGCCTAGTCAGTGTTCTTTATAGGCGGCCTGGCAAGACCTGGAGAAGCCAGTCACCCCTGCAGGTCTGGGCTATCATCCTGCTTAGGCTTCATTCTTCAGGCCTCATGGTAGGAAGTTATGCAAGGTTTTGAAGGCCAGCTAGTAGCTGTCTGACTACATTTCCACCCAAGGCAGTGTGTAAATGCATTAGTCTTCTAGAATCCTCAGAGCCTGTGGCTTTGTTTTCTCCCCATTGGCTTCCATCGGTTTCTGTTCTTCTTTCCCTACAAACCGAAACTAGAATTATACAGTAGTGTCGGGGCGGAAGTGCGTTTCTAAAACAAGCTCAGGAAGTCACTTAATTAGCCTAGGAAAGGAACAGGGGGAAATCTGTTCTCCCCACACAATCCTGGATAACTGGAGTTTTCCTAATCCATTTAGAGTGAGTACCCTGCCCCACCCCAGAGTGACCTGGACTTGTACAGCCCGTTCACAAGTAGGAGCCCCCCACATCCCCATACACGCTCATCACCGAGGCTCACAACTCCATCTCTTCCCTCCCACTATGATCTGCTTCATAGACTCAACCAGATTTCTCTGTCTCTTCATCATTGTTGGTTTCCACAGAGGGGGAGTGTGACCTAACAGAAATGAATCTATATTCTGTAGATGTTCAAAAAAATCAAAAGGATGGGAACTTTAAAAGTTGCAGTAGAGGAAGCAGAGAGCTTTCTGGCTTGCTTATGGGAAAAGTTCTAGAATATAGAAAGGAAAAGGAAGGAAGGGTGTGGGTAGAAGAGAAGGGAAACATTCAGTGTCTACAGATGAAAAAAAGATCTGCAGGGAAAGGAGAAGCAGTGCTGAGGATTTAAAGGTACAAAAGCAGGTAGGTCAAGCTAGATATGATGACTCATGCTGCTAACCCCAGGACCTGTAATACTGAAGCAGGAAGATTGCCATGAGTTGAAATCTAGAATACAAGATTGAGATGCTGTCTTTAAAAAGATAAAAACAAAGGTGAACAAACACACAAAATAACCAGCAAAGCTTAGTTCTTAACAGTCCTCCCAGGGCATGCCTTTGTACATAGTTGATAATGAGCAGAGTGGGTCAATTCGTGCATGTATGTATGTATGCAAGGATGGATGGATGGATGGAGCATCCCAGCTGTTGACCTCTAACCTAAAAGACTGTAAATCTGTTGCATATCATTTAAAGCAGGAACTTCAGAAAAATCCGTAAAGCCACTAAAACTGCATGTAAAAATTTGAATGTCTGAATATTTCTCTTTTTGTTGTGGAAAGAGTTCAGAACAAAGTTCCTCAGAAGGGTGTCATCCCAACAAAAGGCTAAGGACCTCTGTTTCAAACCTCCTGGAATTACATAACATAGTAAGCAGCTGTATTCGTTCCCCAGACTTAACCTTCCGCATCCTCCCAGGCACAGCGCATCCTCCTCTTGCTCTGCCGGTGACCTCATCTCTCACTCTCTCTCTCTCTCTCTCTCTCTCTCTCTCTCTCTCTCTCTCTCTTCTTGTACAGTTCATCCGTCTCAGGAGCCTGGCTGGTTGGAGGGGACTCTGAATGGAAAGACTGGCCTCATCCCAGAAAACTACGTGGAGTTCCTCTAACCTAGAGCCCCAGCTGAGCTGCTGAGCTTTATGTGGTCTCCATGACAACTGCTGATTCTGGTGTTGTGGGCCACTGAGAAAGCAGGGAACCGGACTGTTGCCTCCTGCCAACACGAATGCACCTGGGAACTTGTGTCACCTTTCTCCATGATCATCTCAGCTAACAGCACAGGGATGCTGCAAGAATTGAAAGTCCATCAGCAGAGGAGGCCGTTTGATTTTGACAACCCAGAGGAAGGCTTGCAAAGCTGTTTTTCCACGAGTGCCCTAACTAGAGAGCACTGATTTCATGTCAACAGTCACCCCAATCCCCAGGCTTCTGAGAAGAGGGAGCAGGAGGAGAACAGTCCTAAAGGAAGTACAGCACTGCTGAGGTGGATAAGGCAGGGCAAAGAAACTGGCACAAGATGCAGGCTGCCTCTGTTGCTGTTGCTTACAGCAGACATGCGTTCTCTCTCCTTCATTCTCCCAGAGACACCGCTCTGAAGGCAGCTGGGCCTGTCTGGAAGCACACAGGATGAAGGGGTTGCCGCATTGTTTATACAAGGTCCAATCTCTCACCATCTCTTGAGCAGCTGTTGGCCTGTAATCAACAGATTTCAGTACAGTCCTCTCATGCAAAGAAGCACACGTCCCTCACATTCTCTGCCACCGAAGGCTTCCATCACTGCCATCACCTAGTAACCATAGCAACCCAACCTACTCTAAAACTAAGCCAACAATAATAATCCCCTTTGTGAGACACTCCCCCCTATTTCAGCTGTTTGTTTGTGTTTTGTTGTTGTTGTTTTGTTTATTTTTAGGTTTTTTTTTGGAATGGTCTTCCAACAATCTGAAGCAAAGGATTAGGCCTTTAGGGTGGTCTGCCTGGGACAGACAGGATAGCAGCTGGGGACTGCTCCCTTTCTGGAAAATGTCAGCATCATCAGAAGATACTTGGAGCAAACTCTGGGGAACTGTTGAGGTTGAATCCCATATACAGTGGGTCAGTACTTCTGTTCTCCATGTAACAATTTCTTGCTTCAGAGGGCAAGATGCTGCCTCCCCATCGGCTAGCATCTGACTGGTTCCCTCCAGCCTCCCCTCTACCTGCTGCCTATCTTTGCCCTTGCCAATGATCCCCAAACAGCTCCCTACAATGCTTTTGCTGCTGGGGTCCTTTGGATTTTAGAGATGATCCTTGGAACAAACCTGTAGTATGAATTTTAAAAGGACATATATATCACTGCCACCCAGAAAAAGAGGGACTTGTTAACTAGGAAAGGCCATTAAGAATCTGGAAGACCCCAAATGTTGAGGCCTGGAGGCTAGTCTGGGTAACTTCAAGGAAAGGGAATTCTCAGTTAAAGGGGACTGGGTCTTAACTGTTGTGCATGAGAGACCACCTGGCTGAGCATCACATGACCTCAAAAGAACACAATCATGGCATCTTCGCATGTGAGTGCCCTGATAGAGCGACTCTGGACAGACAAACTGACACTCTCCAGGGGCCCCTCGGATGGCAGCATTGCACCAGAGTGTCTCTGGCTTCTGGAATTCCTTTAGGGTTGCCTAATGAAGAAAAGAAAAACTTGAATTGTGTTGAATTACTGTATCTTTTGCTTTTATTTTCTTTTTAAAGATAAACTTGTAAATAGAATGATTTGAAATATTATATGGTAAAGTTTTATATTTGATATTCTTTAAGCTAGTTGCTCCATACATTTAGTATTTTGATTGTTGAACAAGTGTGTTTAAAAGGGTGCGCAAGAGACCGGGCTCAAGAGACAAGGTCATGTCCAACTCTCTGGTTCAGTGAAAGACTGTTTCCTTATGGTTCCTGTTGGTGAGCCTGAAAAGTTAGTTGTATTCAGTTGTCTTTATCTACATGTGATTTTGGGCTTTGGAGTTCAAAAGAGCATTTTTAGGCAGTGAATTTTCAAAGAACCGCCACCTAACAGTAAAGTGACACTCAGGATTTAAGTAGGTGGGGTGGGGGGGACTGTTTGCCTTTGTTTGCTTGTTCTTCTCAGGTGTATTTCTTGGTACCCTAGGATGTCCAGACCAGAGGAGATGGGAGAATTACTCCTTTTCTCTCAACTCTTCCTAAGGGCTTATAAATACAGCCAAGCTAGTTTGTAAATGTGTCTATTGGCTCTAAGAACAAAACCTGAAAGTCAGCTGCTGTGGTTCTCAGCCCTTGGTATGCTTTTACTCTTCCTATAGACACATTTCTTCACCTCCAGGTTTCCTACAGCCCCAGAGTAAAAAGAACCCCAAAAGGGATGTAGGTTGCGCGTCTACAGTTTTAAGAGTGGCTGGGATGCTAATAGTTCAGTGCTGTGACTCAGCTCAGGATTGTACTGCTGTCAGCCAAGAACTCAGCCAGGAGCAAGGGAGACTCCGTCAGGCAATCACAGGACTCCAAGCTGCCATTGAGGCTGGCTGTGTGACTCCTGCCTGTGGTCTTAGCACTTAGGTAGCAGAGACCAGAGGATTGCTGGAGTCCTAAGGCAGCCAGGTTTGAGGGCAGGAGGAGGGTTGAAAACTAAAGGAAGAAAGGGAATAGACTCAGGTTCCAGACCTATGCCCTGTGAGCTTGAGAACAAGTTGGGAAAAGGAGCCTAAGGGTATGCACACTCAAGTAGCATTGTGCTTTCCAAATTGAAAGAGCCCAGCATGATGCTTTTAATATATCTGATGATTTAAATTGTCACCTGTCCCATCATAAATGAAGTAGTCTTGTAGTCAGGGCCCCGCATGACTGCTTGGATACATATTCATTCTCTCCTGAGCTGGCCCTGGTTTGAAGCTACTGTCGTAGGCTGACCTCCTTCTAGTTTCCCTGAGGCTATGTGTGGCCTATGACAGATGGTTGCTCTGTTTCTGTTTGTCCAGCTAGGCCTCCCTCCTCCTCATGAGCTAAAGAACTGGATATATTAATATGAGCCAAGTGGAAAGGAACTTGAAGATTAAAAACAAAATGTGCCCTTTCTGCTCTCTGGACACCTCAGCTCCCCACGAATAAGGAAAACTGGGTTAGATTGTAGGGAATGAGTTGATATCAAAATGGAAATTCATTGACCAGAGTCCCAAAGATTTCCCAAGAGCTCTGCATTCCTTCCTCTTGTAAGGCCCTGGGATCAATCAGTTATGACCTGAATTTTGGGGCATTTGAGGTGATTTGCCTCACTCCTCCTTGGGATACAGAGTTCCATAACTAAACAATGCCATGCCATGAGAAGGTAGCTGCTTTCAAATCCCTATCCCCAAGCAGGTAAATTGGACTTGCTCAAGCTTGATGGGATTCTCTCCTATTTTTTTTTCAAGATAGATGTGTAAGAATGAACTCCATTCAGTGGACGACCCCCCCCCCCCGGAAGTCCATTAGCATTAGAGCCAGTTTTTAGTATTTCTAAAGCTATTATGTAAAGTCTGTGGGTGCTTTTTTTTTTTTTTAAACAATGAAGCAGAGAGAAAATGAGCAGTAAGTCCTTGCAGACTGGCACTGGTAGGTCAGAGCTGTGCTGGTTGCCTGGGAGTTGCAGGCGCTCACCCTACAACTTCAGATGTGACAGTGCCATCGCTGGCTCTCAAGGGGAAATCCTCGTCAGCTGCATCTTCCTCCTGAAAATGCTAGCCCCAATCACACCAAAAGCTGCCTCTCACTCATAGAGGTTCCAGAAGCACCCTCTACTGAGGTGGTGTGATTGCTTGTTCATGGCTTCTCCTCCACAGGCACCTGCCTCATACCACCCTGGCACTCCGAATTTGCTCTAGCACCCACTGTTCCTCGTAGACAAGGGAACCAAGTGTCTGCTTAGCTACCTGACTATCATGGGAATGCCCTGGGTGTGTGTGCCACCCCTGGCAAATTTGACAGTGATCACTTATGTCGACACACCTCCCCGACAGCCCTTTAATCACCCCGGTGCCCCTCACACCCCATGGCGGTATTTGAAAAATGTCTTTTGTGCTCAAATATTTCTGTAGCTGTGCTTGATCTAGTGGTTGTCCTTGAACATAGCATCAAAACGGCAAGAGCAGAGAGCAGTGAACCCTGCACATTCCTCCAACATGCCTGAGACGAGACTCCAACAGGAATGATTAGCTTTGTTCCTTTTGCCACCCACAGTACTTGCCTAACGTAAAGAGCTTCCCAAAGCAGACAGAGATTCCACATGTCGCTCCGAGGCAGCCCTGTGTTCATGGGAGGAAAGCATAGACAGGGTCAGGAAGGAAGGAGTGAACCATACTTCTCCCAGTCTTTAAGCGGGGGAGGAAAAGCTATCACAAGAAAAATCTCACAATTAATAATTGTTCACAAGTCTATAGGCCATTATAAAATGAAGATACCTTCACAGTGGAATGTTGTGGAGAGCAAAAACAGCATAGTCCTAATCCATGGAAGGAAGGAGAGCCAAGAATATCATGTGTCAAAATCCACACTAGTATAGTCAGCAGGGACCAGAGTATTGGTAGCTCGGTGTCTAACTGACCTGGAGCAGCTTCAGCCTGGCTGAGGCATGCTAAATCCCACACCCGCCATTCCCACAGGCTTCACCAACAGCCGGCATTCTTGCGCAAGGTTCAAGATGCTGGCATCAGCTTGTTGTCTGTGATGACATACATCTGGTGATTCTAAAAGTTGGTGTGCATGTGTTTGTGTGTATGTGGTCATGTGTAGCGCATACATGTGTAAAGATACAGCCTCTTGTATAGAGACACACATGAGCTGGCACTTCCAAAGCTTTTACAGCCTTGAAAATTTGGAGGGAGAGTTTCAGAGGAGCCTAGAGGCTCTTGGTTTCCTAGCAAAAGATCAGAGATATAAATGAAGTGCCATCTAAAACCTGTGTTCATATATATCACATAGTTATCCACAGCTGTGTTCTTTGGTGACTTATTAAAAGTCATGTTAAAAACTCAAACCCATAAATTCTTAGTAGCTAATGCTTGGCTAGTGTTCAAAAGCACTCAAAAAGACACTTAGTCTATATTTTGGGAAAGAAACTATTTGCATGTTTAATTCATCTTTTAGGCTACCGTTGAGTATACTCTAAAGTGCTGTGTGATATAATATCAGTAAAGTAATTATAAAGGCACTTTAATGTTTTCTTTTGAAAAAAAATCATAAATAACGCACTGTTGTAAATGTCAGTATTGAATATTGACTGGTGCATAGAAACAAATTTTGTAATTAAAATTTAACCTGCAGCTATGATAGAATACTTTTCCTGTTAGTAGAAAAAAAAAACAGTTTTGCCATGTTCAGGCTTTTAAAACATGTGTCTCTGTGCCACTGTGAGTATCTATAAAGAAAATATGATTTCTGTCAGGCACCTCTGAACCGTGGCTTTTTATGTTTGTGTATGTGGCCGTCCCTATAAAGTGAGTGGAAGTATGACTTTTGAATTAAATGACTTTTCCATTTGATGGTGTGTTTGTCTCTTGAATTTCTCGTTAGTTTTTACTCAGCATGTTTTAATTTCTTCTAATGTGCATTTATACACTGATCAACGCTCATAGGTCTAGGCTCTTACAATTAGGAATATCAACAACAGGGATGTTTTCTTATGAGCTCGGAGTGGTCCCTGTTCCACTTACTAAGAGATCAAATGCTGGTACACTTGAATCCACTACTCAGGCCTGTCACACAGTTAAACCTCCAATAGTCACATCCCACATAGCACTAAATGATTTTATCTCCTGGAATGCATAATGGGCTCGAGTCTTCCAAAACTCAGTTTTCTAATCAGTTAACCCTTTTCTAGAATGCCATGCAGAGCACCAGCAGGCTAACGGTACCACCAGGTGCTTCTCGGGCCTTCCTGGAATGTCCTGAGCTATAGCCTGGGATCTGGGGGCCACAGTTAGGCTTCTGACCTTACCCCGGAGTGAGGAGAAGGAAGAAACAGGGATGCTCCCCTGGAGCCTGGATTTAAGGAGGAAGCCATTGTAGGTCACATGTGGGCAGTCTGTTATCCTTCTTTGCCGAGGGTGGCCTCAGCTGAACCCTGAGAACAGTGCAAATGTCCCACACCTGTGGTCCTCCCAGGACCTCTAGAACACTCAGCCCTTGAAGCTGCCCGTGGGACACGTTTGGTTCTGAGGTGAGGTTTTTCTGAGTTAAACAGCAACCTGGGGAGAAATGGATTTACCTGGTGCACATGCCCCCATCACAGTGTCATCGAGAGAAGCCAAGGCAGGAACTCAGTCACACAGGTGCAGAGGCAGAGCCCTTGGAGGAAGGCTGCTTACTAGCTCGCTTTCTTCAGCTTTCTTAGCTGCTTCTATAGCTCAGGCCTAGCTGTCTAGGGATGACACCACCCACAGGGGGACAGACCCTCCTGCATTCATTAGAGATTAAGAAAATGGCCCAGAGACAGGCCCACAGGCCAACGTGAGGATGGCAGTGCCTCCACCAAGCGTCCCTCCTTTCAGGTGACTCTCCTTCGGATCAAGCTGACAAGAACCAACCAGCCCAAACACGAGTCTGATACTATTGTCAAGGGAATGAGATATGTTGTGTCCCTGTTTTATCTGGCCTTGTAATTTCCAACAGGCTTCCTAGTAACTCCGACTTTTTTGTGTCTTCGAAATGTGAAAGGTTTTGATTTTTGGTTTGCTTGTGTCAGCCACGTGGAACAGAACTCGAATGGGGTGTCCATCGCATTGCTGACATCGTGCTCATGTTAGTTCCGACAACTCGGTTGGTTGGTCAGTTGATTGGTTGCAAGAGCACTGTGGGTAGAAACGGACTTGATTGACACTGAAATTAAGTGACCATTAGTGGGTGTGAAGACATATTTTCTCAGGCCCTAAGTAAGTGCCAGCTCTTGAGAATTATGCTCTGTCTTTCTTCTTTCCTCAGGTCTTCCTCGGACTTCCCTCAGACAGCACATCGCTCTCACTGCTTTTAATAGCACTAAGTTAAGCTGCAGCTAATTAACTCTCCTGGGCTAGCCATTGTTGGCTGACACTGGCCTGCCCGGCAGCCAAGAGAAGCTCTAAGCAAGGCAGTAACTGCTCAGGTGGGTGAGGCTCCAGGCCCAGGAGAGCTGTCCTAGAGGAAGGGGTGCACATATCGAGGTACCAGAGAACTGTGCTGGGATGCTCAGCCAACATCCGACATTTGGGGACCAGAATCATGACAGTTTCCCACTGAAATGGTCAAAAACATATCCCACAGCAGTTGGCTGTCACACTGTGTAGCTATCCCGTCTTTTATGTAACTGACCCCAGGAGCCTGGCCACAGTCTCTGCTAGTGAGGCCCAGCTGGCTATCATAGGCCTTCCTGAGCCAATCCAGCAATCAATCCAGTGAAGATCTGAATTCATGGGGTTAGTTCTGGACCCACCAACTTACATGCTTACCCTAAAGTCCAAATGGGTGTTCTGGCACTGCGGCCAGATTTCCCTTCTGCGCTCATTGACTTGAATACAGTGTAAGCGATCCTTGACAAAATGCCCCATTTTCTCCCAGGCTCGGAGCGAAGTCTGTGGGAGGAAGACTTTCCACTCTCCACTCAGGAGCACAGCCTTCCTGCTGGTGCTCTGAGTGAGCACTCAACAAACCATCTTGATAATGCAATGACCAAGACCCGAAAGCCCCTCTACCATCATCCGAGTTTCTGGTGACTCATGCTAAGCTGGAGGCCTATTCAACAAGTCACAGAGTCACCCTAAACGTTAAAAGCACTCCTTCCTAAGGACTCATCAAGGAAATTCCACACCATCCCATGGGATCTGGTCTGGCATCTATCACTCTCACTAAGGGAATTCTTTGTGTCTGACTGAAGTTTCCCATGGTGTAGCTCCAGTCCATTTCCTCTCCGGCTTTCCTACAGTGAAGAGTTAACTGGTTCCTGTCCTTCTGCGGAACTCTCAAGTTTCGTGCTTCCGCTCAGTAGTTTCCTCTTGACCAACGCACATGCCGGGAGCTGCTAATGCCAGGGAAGGAGCACACCTCTGGGCTCATGGGACTTACACCCAGGCTTCACTGATGAGCACAGATCCTTGCCACAAGAAATAGAAATAAGAACCCATGGGCCACTTAGGTACAAGGAGCAGGTCCCAAGTCCTCCCACGTAGAAAGGCGGTGAGGACCAAAGCATGAAAGTGTAGGGTCATGGAGTTGGGTGACCCCAGTGTAACCGGACCATGGGGACACAGGGCTTTCTGGGGGTTGCAGATGGTTCACCCTCAGCTGCTCCCATCTTAGCTTTTGGGTTTCGGTTTTATGCTCAGGTGACAAAGTTCATTCTCACTGGTCATATTTAGGACATCACTATATCCCCTCCCTAAATCATCAAGACATATGAAGCAGTATTATTGTCCCATCTACTCTGTGATAAAGCTGTCCATGGAGCTCACACAAGCTAAAATGAACCTACAATTCCAGCAGAAGCTTCTCTAGTTCTGCAGCCCGAGTGTCCTCTGAAATCCTGTTTAACAATCCCTTCTTCATACACGATTGTGGCTCAGCACATGGGAAGGACTCGTGTCCCTCACAGCACTGTTTCTAGGTTTGGCAAAGGGCTATCCTTCCCTGTTTTTGCTTTGGGTCTCTCACCCGGAGCCTGTTTCTGTCTCCTCCATCCCTGTATGGGATGGCAAGAGCCTCTCAGAGAGCACCGCCTCTGGGGGTGCTCAGCTGTGTTCTGCAGACAGGATGAGAGCTGGGTGTGTCTTTGAGCCTCTCGTCCACTCGTCTTGGCTAGCTGCTCCCAGTTGTTAAGGTTTCTGTACATACTCTTGGTTTTCAGGTCAGCTCCTGGACTCCAGCTGCAAGCTTTGGCAGGCCCACCACCTCCGAGCCTGACTGTGGAGGCAGCCCCTGCAGGAGCCAATTGTTTGCCTGACTGGAACATATGGCATGTGAGAATTTTTTTTTTTTCAGTTTACTCTGACCCCTACCCCCCGACCCAGCTACTAAGGACAGAGCTTCAGGCTAAGGAACCTCCATAGGTTTGTGTCTTCTCGTGGGAGACACAAAAAGTGTCTCTAGCCCCATCACATTGTGTTCCATAAGAGATCATTTTTGTGGGGTTTAAATTCCTTCTTGAGCCTAAAAGTCAGAACTGCTAGGAGGAGAGGGAACCCACAGGGGGGAGAGCTGAGGTCTGGGGCACAGAGAGTTCCCTATTTGTACTGCTCTCCTAGAGTGAAAAACTCAGGGGCCTGAGGTGTGGGGCCAACCTCAGGTGTTCAAGAGGACGGAAGAGGACAGAGCAGTTCCAGGTCACACAGCCTACTGGCACTTGCTAGGCCTCATGCCGACTCTTCCCTGCGTCCATTTTTTTTTTTTAATTCTCAAATCAACCCCGTGAAATAGGTACCCGCTGTTATTCCATTGTGCCCGTGAGGAAGTCAAATACCAGATTAGGCAATTTGTTCAAAGTCACGGTTAATAAGTAACAAGGCAGAGCTAACCCCAGCTAACCCCAGAGCTCACACTCACAACACCCACAACTGTCACACTGGGGGGGGGGGAGGCAGAGGCTCCACACCCCGAGCCCTCCCTTCCCCCAGCCCAGAGAGAATAGCTGCTGTCCTTATCTGCCCGACAGCCAGCACCCTTTCTATTGGTAAGAGGGTATCACTTTTGCTTCTGCAAGCCACATGCCCCTTACCCTCTGGTTCCAAGGGTTTGTGTGGCTTGGCACCAACCCTGCACCCGGTGGTGACCGTGTGACCCGGCCTTGTGTCAGACCAAGTGTTTGACTGCCTCAGGGATATACACAGGGTCTACAGTGCCACAGCTTTGACCTGGAACAAGGTACAGAAAGCCTGGCGCAGGACAGCATAAAACCTGTGGAGGGTAGTGAGGGCCATAACCCACCCTCAGGTGGCTTCTCCCTGTCAGTTCTTCCTGTCACATGTGGGTATCTGCAGGCCCAGTATGAGTCCCTTTCCCTTATGTGAACTACTTGTTCAAACTGGGGAGCGTGTCTGTTACAAAAGTTGCCTCTGAGAGCAAACAGAAGGCTGTACCTGTTGTGATATGAAGTGGACAAACACTGGCCTGGATTGTGCAATTCTGGAATTGGCACACAGACACACACACACACACACACACACACACACACACACACACACACACACGCCTAATTCCCGTCTTTGTACAGCATGCAAACTCATTTTTACAGTACAGACACTTGATCTCCTTTCTGAGCCAGGAGAAACCTTGACTAGATCTTCTAAGGACAAGGAGGAATAATGTCTGTTGGAGTCCCACCTGATTCACCCTGTCACTGGCTGATCGGCCCAGCAGTGATATATCGGGCTTCACCCCAGAGTTCTCACAGAGGATCCCCAGGACAGCTCTAAGCAGGAACAGCAGTAAATCGTGTCTAACTGTGAGATGGAATTGGGAACCTTAGAGCTCTCAGCCCAGAACCAAGCACACCCTGAGGCCGCGCCCAGACCTGCTCAGCAGTCCCATGAACACAGGTCTGAGAAACTCCAGACACCCAGTGCAGACTTTCACCTTTCTGTGGGTGGGGTAGCGTAGCTGGGCCTCCAGAGGGTGGGTGTATCTCCTTTGCCTCCCTTGGAGGCCCTGCTGTGGAGCTGTGTCTGTGATGTGCTCATAGTATCAAGACTGCCAGGTAAAAATAAAAACTCCAGCCTTGACAGGAAGGCCCACAAGCTAGGAAGGCACTCCTGGTCCACCCAGGAGCCTGCTTAACAATATACTCAGTAAGTGTGTGTGTGTGTGTGTGTGTGTGTGTGTGACAGAGAGAGAGAGAGAGCAGCAAAAGCTCAAAAGCTCCATAAGTGAAGGAGGGAGGAAGAGAAAAATGGGAGAGAGGAAAGGAAAGGGAAGGAAAATTGAAAGGAGGTGACAAGAAGGAAGAGAAGGAAAGAAGTTAAAACTTCAGAAGCTCCTGTCAGAAGGAAGGAGGAGGAGAAAGGAGAAATCCTAGCTCTTTGCTGTAGCATTCAGGGGTTCTTTCCAAAGTGGCCCCAGCTTTTTTTGAAAGATTGCCCCAGAGTCATCTACTCCCTATCACTCCACAGGACATGGCCCAGTGTTCACTCCTTCCTTTGCTTAGCTGGTACTTGGCATCTGTGATATCCACGTCCAGTGCTAGGTGCTATCTGCCGCTTGTATTCCTGGGGTTACACTAGGCTTGAGGGCCCTTCGTGTCTTTCACTCCAAGGGATCATCAGCTGGATGGCCTGTCTGTTCGGTTTCACTAACCTTTTTCCTGCCTGAAGCAACTGTCTCCCTTTGGAAAAGGCTCCCTCCTTCCTTGGGGTTGTGAGAATCATGGATTGACATCTTTATTAGTCAGGGTTCTTTAGAGTAACAGAACTTACAGAATGAATCTCTCTCTCTCTCTATATATATATATATATATAATATAATTATATTGTATTTTATAATTATATTATAATAATATATAGATAATATAATTTATAAAATACATATATTATTATAATTATATAATATCTTTAATACTATATAGGGATTTATTAGAATGAAGCTAACAGTGGCCTTCTATGAATGGAAAGTCCAAGAATCCAGTGGTTGCTCAATCCATGTGGCTGGATGTCTCAGCTGGCCTCCTGAAGATGCTGGAATCCCAAAGAGGTAGGCTTTAATGCCAGCAAAGGAATGGATTTACTAGGAAGGCAATGCAGAGAGCAAAAGCCTCCTTCTTCCATATCCTTATACAAGCTGCCAGCAGAAAGTATGGCCCAGATTAAAGGCGTGTGTCTTCCCAGATCTGTGTTAGAAGCGATTCTTCCTACTTCAAATTAAGAGAAAAAAAAAAAAATCCCTTCTTGGTGTGGCGTCCATTTTTGGATGATAATTTATTCCAGATGTAGTCAAGTCGACAACCAAGAATATCTTCACAGGATCAACCCTCGCTCCAAGATCAATTGTCATGTGGCTGGTCAGGCCTTTGAGATCATAAGACCTATCTGGTCAAAGCTTCCTGGCTGATTTAGGAACGGGCATGGGGCTAACGAAGCATGAGGAGAATTGGTTGGGGGGTGTCTAAGATCAGTAGTAATAAGAGACTTTGTCTGACTCGTTTGACTCATCAGGACACTTGGCAGTCATCTTGGCCCTTTGATGGGGAGCCTGCCTGAACACTGGCTGTGCACGGTGCTCCAAGAAGCAAAAGCAACATTCCTCATCCCTGGGCCAGATGCTCCCCAGCCTTTCCAGTACGTCAGCAAGTAGTTGTCGATTCATCCAGCATGCTTTGCCATGGGTTCTTTCACTTGCAACCAAATCTTTAGATAAAATTCTGTGGCGATCTCCATAGCTCCCCAGTGATGAGGACAGGAGGCTGGCCTTGCTGGCATGGAGGGGGCTGCTTCCCACCTTTGGAACCTACAGGCATGCCTGTAACTTCTTTGAGTATCAGCTTCCTTATCTTTAAAATGAATATAAAAATCCTTACCTTCTGAGGCTGTGCTGATTCAATGAAGTGGCACTAATGTGTTGCATGAAGTTCCTTGTCCTCAGACTTCAGAATTGCAGTGTGGAGTTCTCCCTGATTCAGGAATATCTAGATCCTCATTGCATTATCCATAGCCATGACTGTGCCCAATCAGTGGTAGGAGGCACCTAGAATTGCTCTTTGATTGCATCTCTACTTGATTCCTTGGCCACGGTCAAATGGTCTAGATGTGAACAGACATCTGTGCTGAAGGTCAAAAATGCTAGTGTTCTGAAAAATGCATGGTGTAGCCTAAACACAGGCCACAGACCAATCCAACTTTGGCTCCTGAGAAAGGGAAGCTGCCCTTTGAAATGGGGACAGAAGACGGAGGGCTCCTGGAATGGACCCAGGGCTGATGGTCATGTCAAGCAAGATACACACCTGAAGAAACAAGGAGCCTGGTGTGCCAAGCAGGGGGCTTTGCAAAGACAACACACAGAACCATGGGAAGAGAAAAAAGTCCCGGCCCACCTTGCAATTCCCTAGAAGGAGCAGTTGTGCATGGAGCTTAGGATCTAGCTAAATGATTGCTGTGAACAGAAAATTACTATGTTCACATATTGGGTGAATTTGAGTGGTGCCTGTTTCTTAAGAACAGAAGAGTGGTCGCTAGAACATGGATGGGTCTCAACTGGCACCAGAGCTTCTTCCAGCTGGATGATTCGCCCAAGGCCATGTGGCACCCCAGGGTTGTGAAGCCTCTTGGGTTTTTTTTTTGCTTTGCTTTGCTTTGTTTTGTTTTGTTTCTGGCTGACTATAAACATCCAGGGTGGGACATCCACATGAGTGAGCAGAGAATTTTCTAAGAATTTTCCTTTCCACTGGGAGGATAGGCTTAGAAATGCACACAAACTGAACCCTTAATTCCCACAACCAACCATTTTCTTTTTATTGGTAACATTATAGATTGCTTTTCCAACACATGCGCATGCGTGCACACACATGCACACACACACATGAGCACGACGGTGGAAGACTAGCAGGAGCCAATGCTTTCTTCTCTCTCTACAAGTCTTGAGATCTTTCCTTTGGTGATACCTGGAATGGCTTTCTAAGAAAAGCAAACCTGAGCATTTCAGCACCCTGGAGAATTTCAAGCCCACTGACATATTCATGGTTCCAGGAACCTGGGGAGAAAGGTATTTCTGGAGAGGAGAGACAGGAAATGCTGTTCCATAGAAGCTTAGTTGGCCATCCATCCTAACAGCCGTCAGCTCTGCCCATCCCTGCTCAGGCCCCAGGCAAAGCTTCTGAAAGGTTTTCTTGGAGCCCACAGGAGCCAGCTCATCATGGTTCTCTAAAGCCAGCTGGTAAAAGTGCAGGAGTCTTGGAGTTTCTTGCTGAACTGCTGGGAGCTTGGAATCAGTGTTAGTGGGATACTTCATTTTTACACAGTTAATGTACACCAAACACTACAGATCAGAGCTCCCCAGGAGCTACAAGCATAGATTGCATAGTCTGCCCAGGTGCTGACCAGATAGGTGACACTTGAACTTGGTTTGTAGTCTAGGTGGTCTTAATCTAAGAGCAGGGAGGGATGAGGGGGATGGAGGGATGGAGGCAACTCATAGAACTAGAAAGAAGCTACAAATTCCTCATATGGAGCAGTGCAAAGGTCACAGCTGACTTGCTGTGGAGATAAAAAAAAACAAAACAAACAAACAAAAAAAAACACCTCTTTCCCAGCAAGGCAGCAAGGCAGCAAGGCAGCAAGGCAGCAAGGCAGCAAGGCAGCACTCTGCCCTTGGAATCAACAGCTGGCTTGTGTTTATTTGCATCAGACTTAACAGGACCTAAAATAAGGGGTTTATTCCCCTTCTCCCAAGGAAGCTTCTTAGAACTTTGTTAGAGCTACAAGGAACTTCGGTGCAAATGGCTTCCCTTTCCCCAGCAGGGAGTCATCGGGACACCCAGCCAGATGGAAACTTCCCTAAGGCCAGTGCAACTCTCAGTGACCATTCAGGGCTTCTTCGGGGCGGGAGGGCACCATTCTTTCCCTTGGTGTCTGCTGTGGGCAGGAAGCCAGAAAATAGAGAAGAGGCAGAAGGATGAGGTGGAAAAACCAGCATGGTTGAGTGTCCGTGGGAACCAGGCTTGGTGGAGGCCCCAGAACGCCCTGCCACTGTAGGAAGCCTTAGTGTTCTGGGGACTCCTTAAAACCAAACGCCTTAGATTGCATGTGTGGAGAATGGGATCACAGATTCTGTTTTCAGCAGGCATCTGAGGTGATTATGAGAGTCCTCAAAAGTAATTCCAAGGTCACTTGGAGGCAGGGGAGAGGGGAGAGAGCCAGACATGATTGCCGTGTTAACACATCCTCTTGATTTAATATCGAGACCTTCTAATTTGTTTGACAATATTATTGGGAAGTTTCCTGCCTTGCAGATGTCTGAGTGAGAAGTTTCTTTCCAGCAATTAACACAGGAGTAAGGATGGAAAAATCCACACTTACCTGGATGATAAATCAGTGGGTGACCACGTGCTGAAAGGCCTCCCCAGGGTTTCCTCTGTATGATGAAATGAATTTACTCCCTGAAAGAAATTAACTTTCCAGTAACTCAGCTGCCATAAAGTGGCTAACGCACACACGTGCTCCGGCATGATCTACGTGGCCACGGCTCTCTCACTTTGCAGCTGATTAGAGTCCAGGCAGCTTTTGCTCAAAGCTGAAACCATCTCGAACACGGGCTGTTAATAAGAAAGTCACTGGTGCTGTAACCACCTGTCCAGAGTGGACTCACCTAAGCAGCAGGAAAGCCCAGGTGATCACATACCGCATCGGCAAAAGGAAGGGCTGTGTGGTCAGATGGAAAATAATGTGGGATTTTAGTGAGCCCCTCAAGTTCAGACATCAGTGTGCTTAGGAACAACCACATACCTGTACCCACACGTGTTTGCAAGCACGCAAATCCTCAAGCTTGTGACATAAAAATGTTTGGAGACTGCCAGTTAAATTTTGTAAACATTAACCTTGACTTTCTCTGCTTTTGTCTGCAAGGCAGAATAGTCATGTATACTGGCTGGTTTTGTGTCAACTTGACACAAGCTAGAGTCACCAAAGAGGCAGGAGCCTCAGTTGAGGAAATGCCTCCATGAGATGCAGCTGTAAGATATTTTCTCAATTACTGATCAATGGAGGAGGGCCCAGGCCATGAGTGGTGCCATCCTTGGACTGGTGGTCCTGGGTTCTATAAGAAAGCAGGCTGAGCAAGCCATGGGGAAGCAAGCCAGAAAGCAGCACTCTTTCATGGCCTCCAAGTTCCAGCCATGCTTGAATTCCTGTCCTGACTTCCTCCAGTGATGGATTATGATCTGAAAGTGTAGGCCGAATAAACCCTTATCTCCCCAGTTCTCTTTTTGGTTGTGGTGTTTTGTTGCAGCAGTGGAAACCCTAGGACATCATGATTCTGAAAGCAGAATTGTCTCAAGAATTAAAGGGAATGATTTACCTAAGGCACCTGGCAAGTATTCAGAACTATTGATCACCAATCATAGTAGAAAATGGTAGCTAACTGAATAAAACTTTCTGAGTCTTAAAAAAGAAGGTATGCAAGGGAGTTCTTTCTCATCCGAGAAACCAGCTGTGTGCATAAAGGAATGATGGGATGGCACTGTTCCCACCCACAGCACTAGTAATGATTGAGTGAGTCAAGGCTCATCAATGGACGATTCACACCAGATATCTGCATAATCTCAAAGCATCTCTTCACAGGACACCTCTCCATCCCAAAGGAGAAAGTAGTTAACTTCGTCATGGAACCTGGCAGACACTGACTTTTTATTGTGTGGATTGTGATCTCCAGGCTGACCTGTCCTCCTGGCTTCAGGATGTCCTCCTGCCTCAGTCCTCCAAAAACCTAGGAGTATGTCCTGGAGCTGCACACAAAGGTTAAGGCTAACTTTTAAATTTATGGTTTTCTCTGTGTGTGTGCGAGGAAATATCAGAGGACACCTTTTCTGTGTCAGTTCTCTCCTTCCACCATGTGAGTTGCAGGGTTCCAACTCAGGTTGCCATGCTTGATAGCAAATGCCTTTACCTGCTGAGCCAGCTCATTGGACCTAAGACTGCCGTTTAGTGGGGCAAACCAACACTATACCCTCCCAGGAGACATTGATGGACAGACTTGAAACAACAGCAACAAAAAACTTCCAGCTGGGTGTGGTGGTGCATGCCTGTGATCCTAGCACTCTGGGAGGCAGAAGAAGGTAGATCTCTGTGAGTTCAAGGCCTGCCTGGTCTACAGAGCAAGTCCAGGACAGCCAAGATTACACAGAGAAACCATGTCTAAAACAAAAACAAAAAACAAAGAAACAATAATACAAACAAACAAAAATTAAAAGAAAAACATCCAAACAACAACAACAACAACAACAAAAGAATGAGACAGAAAAACAAAACAAAACAAAACTTCCAAAAATGTATAATCTGAACTGCACCCAAAGAAGACAAATGAGTTAACAAATTGAGTTTTTCACTTCCAAACTTTCAGATTTCAGGATTCCAATGCCTCAGGATATGAAAACAGATGCAATACATACACCTGATTTCCATGGCAAGAAAGGATGTCATAGAGACAACTGGGGAAATCTGAGGAAGGATGATGGACTGGGTAACTACATTGCATTCATGTTCATCCTATGATGGAGATAAATCACATTGCACATTGAGAGGGCAAAATGTTCAGGTAGACTGACACGGAACAGGTAACTAAGGGTAAAAGGCATCCATCTGCAACTTCTTAAGTGACAAACACAAAAAAATTAAATGGAACTGAATTAAATTAAGAGAGATGGAACTGAAATGAAGTTGAAAGAGGTGGATCAGCAGTGAAGAGCCTGTATTACTCTTCTGGAAGACTCCACCTTGATTCTCAGCACCCTGTCCAGCAGCTCACAATGGCCTGTGACTCCAACTCCGGGGGATCCCATGCCTCTGACCTCAGGTACATCTGCGCTCATGCGCAC